ATAATATATATATATTTTAGAACGCGCTTACGAAATATTGGATTCTATAATATAAAACTTTTTGACAACGAAGTCTACTATGAATATATACAGACAAAAAAAATCAAGTAAGAACTTTTATTTTAAAAATTTTAATACTTTACATTTTCACATTTATACATTTTCGCCGTTTAAGAAAAATTACAGTAAGAAAATATAAGTAATATAAGTTAATAAGTAATATATTATAATATATTATTAATACGTACAAAATTATAACCTGGGAGTATATATAACTTTATTTAATTAAAAATTTATTCCATTCTACACTGACATTCGGGGAGAATGAAATACGCAAATATATGTGTAAAACAAACATTTTATTAAAAAAATAAAAAGCAATCAATAATAACAACTAAAAAACAATCAATAATAGCAAATAAAAAATCAATCAAACAAAAAAAACTTTTTTATTTGTGTGATGATGTTGAGTCGTTTTGAGGTACTTGAGGTTGAATCGAGTTTTCATTTTTTGGTGCAATAAAACTCAGCGCCTTACGTATCGCTTTGGTATGCATGTTTGACATAGCCAAATCTTGCAATTTGAATTTTCACACTAGTACTATTCAATATTTTCGACTTGCTGAAGCTTCGCCTAAAACTTTTTGGCACTTTTTACACTTAAATTGGTTTGTAGCTAATATTTTTGTTGGGCTTGATGCTTGGTTTATTTGCTGTTCGCCATTAGAGATAACATTTGTTGCAAAGCTGCTGCAAGTGATTGGGTTGATTGCAGTTGTTTTTTAACCTCTTTTTGAATTTCCTTTTGAATAGCCGGATTTACTACAATATTGAAGATTGCAGAAAGGGTGACTTTTGAGGTGACTTTAGAGCTAATGCTATGTGGCATATGCTGATGCTAGATGTTGGTGTAGATTCAGAAGGCAGTGGCTGAAGTAGTGTAGTTCCTGGTGCTAGTATTGGTGGTGGTATAATCATAGATTCTGGTTGTTGAGTTGATAAAAGCCCAACTTCAGATGATGGTGAGTCAAACGTATTAGCGATTTGCAGCTTTGAATGATCGATTTTATTGATGTCTAGTGGAAGCAAGCCAGTATTCTGAAACTCAGTGACTATTTGAGTGCGTGTAAAAACTTCACTCGAGCTGAAAAGTTTTTTTTGTAGGTAACTAAAACATTCTTCTGATAAGTTGCTGAAATTTGTCTCTGCATAAAACTGTTGAAGTAGTTTGCAATAAACACCAACACCTAGTGGTTGCAGAATATTTGACGAGTGAGCTGGTAAGCAAATTAAATTTCGATGCAAATAAGTACAACCCGATAAGTGACATGTGTCACATGTTCCTCTACAACTAAAATATGAATAACTAAAATTAGAAACTATAATTAGATTGATGTAAAATTTGATAAATATAATTAGATAACTAAAATTAGATTGAACTCACTACCTGGAATTTTTTTAAACATACACGTTAGTGAGCCATTGCACAAATCGCTTATCATCCATCAATGGAGATATAGCGTATGTGGCATCATTTGTACCACTTAAACACCAATCTCTGCACGACATTTTTTTATTTAAAAATAATCTATGGAGCAAGACGATTACCAGCAGCATTAACGCAATTTCCAACTGTATAATGGATTTTTCTATTGTTGTCAACCAATTTCAATGGTCGTTTTGCACCACGCCGGCAAACTATATTTTTCTTACCTTGATCACCAGAGAAGCCAATTTTATCAAAATTCCACACATGACAAGGAGTGTTTTTATTGATACCTGCTACGTTGAAATTTCTTTGCAGTGTGTTGAAATACTTTGCTACTATTTCTTGCGTGCAAGATGCGGCTCTAAGTGATGAAATATTGCCTATGGCTCTGATACTTAACCTATGACTCCACCGGTTTATGAAAAGGTTATACTATTCTCTTCCTGGTGTACCATTAGGAAACAAATGAGATAACTAGTGTGATGACGCTATTGTAAGCTCAACCAAAGCCCCAATTGGATAATTTAATTATTTACCAAAACTGATCTGACCAAAACGAATCTACCAAAACTGATCTGACCAAAACGTATCTACCAAAATTGATTCAAGTTGTTTTAACAACCTCGTGCTTGAACCACTGCGATTTATTTCACCTATGCCGTTGACAAGCCTGTGAAGAGTTGCTATGCTGAATAATTTAGCAGATTTGTCAAGTGAAAACTAACCACTTTGTACTTCAAGCACCGCAAGCGCAACTTGCTCTTTGTTTCTCACGCAACGGGCAAGTTGTTTAAAGGCATATTTTATATTAAAATAGATTTACAAAAAAAATTCATTTGAAATTTATAGATATAGATATTGAAATTTATAGATATGCTCAAAATTTATAGATATAGCTTGGTCACTTGAGACTTAATTAATTAATAAAAACCGCATATAACAAGAGAGTAACTAGCGTATTTCATCAGAATCGTTTAATAAAAGCAGTCGGTAAAAGCCATTTATTTAAATTCAGAAAAATTTCATTAAACAAATTTTTTTATAATTTTTCTTTTTCTTCACCATGTTATTAGATTGAAAAAAAAATCAGGGAAAAGAAAAATAGATAAAAAAAATTTAAAAATATAAAAAATTAATACACACACACATTTACACACACGCACATACACGCACGCACACGCACACACATATAACACATAAATATATATGTAAAATATTTTTTATACGTAAATTAAAAGAAAACAAATATTTAAAACTAAAAGTAGATAAATTATAAGCATGTATATAATATACAATTTCAAGAAAATATAACTTTTTCCTCAGTAATAAACAATTAACAAAAGTAAATTGAGAAAAGTTTAAATTTTTTTTTTTTTGCTAAAATAAAATTAATAAATTTATTTATAATGCTAAAAATACATCTAAAGTACTCTTAAGGGATCGTCCATAAAGTACGTAGGGTCGGAGAGGAAGAGGGGGTCTGCAAATGGCGTATATGAGAAGGAGGGGGGGGGGCAGTAGGTCAATTATAAAAGTATGGAGACACCAAATTAAAAAAAATATCATAAAATGTTGGGTTGGTAGGTGAAAAGCGTTGGTACTATTAGGGAGGTAAAGGGCACTCAAAAAAACGTATGGTAAAATGCGGGGGGGGGGGGGGCTAAAAAAAAGTGTACGTACTTTATAAACAACCCCTAATTAAAACGCCTTAAAAGGAAATTTAATTCATTGTCGTTTAGTAAAAGACTAAAGTTATGTTTTAAAATTAATTTCCACTTTATTATTTAAATTTTCACAAAATTTGCATTAAAAAATAACATTTTTGAAAAAATTGTGTGTTTTCCAATGCTGGAAAACACACAGTTATCTTCAATTGCTAGAAAACATAATTGCACTGAAGAATGCTTGCTAAACCTGTTCTCAATATGAAACCTAGCTATTGTCTGATGTAGCTGTAACTGTTGTCAAAAAGAGACTAGCTGTGGACGTTGCCTAGGCGTATTAGTTATTAAAATATACTTTTTAAGCATATTATACTAAACTTAAAATCATCAACCGGTTTTAAGATTAATTTAATAATCTTTTAAGGTTCAAAGGTTATGACCATGTAAACCTTTTGCCCTCCTCAAAATAATGGAGCTGTAAATTTTAAATGGAAATAACTTTCAAACAAAAAAAGGTTATTAAATTAATCTTAAAACCTGTCGATGAATTTAAATTTAATATAAAATGCTTAAAACTATATTTTATTAACTCATTGGCACATCCGCGGGAAGAAGAGGGAATATTTGGAGATACTTTTGTCTCTAATCACCGATATTTTTCTAAACATTTTCATTTGATGTACAGCCTTAACTAAATAAGATATGTGATTTTCAATAAAAACATTATTTGAGTGAAAATATGGCATATGCAAAATATCTAATGTAATATGCTAAAACGATTGGCTGAGAGTGCAAGACATTGTTTCCCACTCCCAGAAGAGTGATGTATCATCATATTTGATTTACATATTAATATATCTAGTTTTTATGTAAACTAATAACTTTTTATTGATTAAAAATACATCTTTATTTACAGTATTAAATAATAAAAAAATTGTTTAATACTTCAATTTATTTGTTTTAAAATTAGTATATGTGAATGAGGCATGTTTGGGTGGAAGGTGGTTCCGGATAACTTAATCCATTTACATAATAAAAATGAGCAACTTTTTTATATAAATAGTATTACATTCATAATACACAAACCCATGAAATAGTAAATCATTTAATTCCGATAAAAAGACCTGAAATTTGAAAAAAGAATTTTAAAAGTGTTTATTTTCATAAGTTTAAAATAGTGGCTGATTAAAACTTTTTCAACTATCTATAACTAACTATCCCCTTCAATTTTGAAACATGACTTTCTTCTGTATTTTTTCTTTAAGGTTGTACATAACCATAAAAAATAAAATTGGAAATAAGACAATTCATAACAACTTTTTAATTTTTCTTCATTTAAAACAAACTATTTAGAAATAATTAAATTAAAAAAAGTAGTTAATCAAGTATTTTTGCCTCAATTATTACTGAAAAATTGATATTTTGATGATATATTGTAAATAAAATATTAAAAAAATCTATATAGTTAAAGACTTGAAAATTTCACCAGTTCTTTATTGTATCGTAATGCAGGAGTTGAACTAAAACTAAGTCATAATACAAAGTAGTTCAGAAGATATTGACATTTTTTACTTGTTGATTATATTTTGTATAGTTTATAAAAAAGGTTTATGAAAAGCGCTAAAAGATGACAAGTTTTGTGTATAAAATAATAGTTTTAGTTCAACTCCTGACATTAAAGCTTAAGTATATACAGGAAAAATTTCAACCTAAAAGCTTATCCTGATCTTGAAATATCATGTTTTAAAGTTAACAAAATGGGTAGAAGTTAAATACTGAGAAAATTGCAAAAATAAAGATAAACTGACAAAAAATATTATGATTTACTTAATATGAGCCTTCTGAATAAGCAGGAATCTCTTCATTTTCTTTTTCCTTATCTAGAAATCCTTTGATTGATGACTTTCTATAAACCTTTCTTATGCGCTCTATATCACTTTTTTTAAATGCATTA